TTGTGCTATTGTGTGTGTGGTATAATTACTAAGACAGATTTTTTTTTTTTTTTTTTAAATGGTACAATAAATAGGATATTTCCTGGCCTGCTTTGCATTTCGAATAGGATTTTCACTTCCCCTTTGGGTTCTGAGCGTAAGGAGAGTAAGTGTCAAAAGGCAGGAGCTTTCCCAATTTTAAAACAGAGAGGGTGTAACCATGTGTAATGTGAGTCTAGATTTTGATTGTAGGGATGATGAAATCAAATCCCTCCTTAATCGTTACTGGGAAACATTGAAGTAAATTAGCCTGCCTGCTTTTGCTAACTTCTTAAAACCCTTTTGAAAAAGAAATGTGTTTTAGTGTCATCAAAAATATCTCCCTACTTTACCCCACGGTCTAAGAGAACACTGGACCATTGTGCAGAGTGACCTCAGTGCAATGAAAAATGAAAGAAGGAGAATAGATAAAACCAAATATATTATTTTCCTGGAAAAAACCACAGTGCTTTCCGATATGCAACTCTTTCCAGCACTGCCATTTTTAAGCTAGATGCTTAGTCATTATTAATGATGGTATATTTCTTTAAAGCTGCTATATTTTGGGAATAACTGGAAATGAAACTTGCTTTTTTTTCCCCCCTTAAGGTTAGTTAAAATAATATACAGTTGGGTGCATTGCAGTCACTGTGCATGTACCAATTGGAGTATTTTTGGAACAAGTAAGGAAGCTTATTCCAGTTATTTCATTTATAGCAAAGTAGTAGCTTGAACTTGAGAAGAGCTCCCTGTTCGTGTTGTTCAGCTGTGCTGTGCAGTGGTTGGAGGCTCTCAATGCTACCGCTACTTTACAAAAATATTTGGCACAAGCTTATAAAATCATGGAGATTTTTTTTCCTCCCCCCCTGCCCCGAAACCCTCTTAATTTTGTTCCTTGGTAATGTGTCAGTACTTCCCCCACTTGTGCACACAAATATCTTTAAGGTTTAATTATTTCATTAAAAATAGCTGAAGTATTTAAGGAGGAGCACCTTATAAATAATAAAGGAGAACATCTTGTTCATTCTTGCCATCGCTCAGATAGAGGCAAGCAGCTGTTATCACAGTGGGGTTTCCTGATGTGATTATACCAAGTTCCAGGGCAGGACCCTGCATCAGTTGGTGTGAAATACCTAAACAGCTGGAGATTAAGTAGAAAAGCATC